CGTAGCATTCAAACAGCTGGAGTAACCAGTAACGTAGCTTAGCACGGACTTGCTACATGACATAAGCAGTAAACATAAACACTAAACAGTATACTGTAGTAAAATTGCAGTAAATAAGTGTAGAATTACACTGCATACATTATAGTATAATTTAAAATGTGACAGTAAATAAGAAGGGATAAGTAATACTACAAATTACACCGCATCACACAGCTGCAGTGTGTAAGCTCTTACTTTGATGAAACAATAACCGTATCAATTTCAGGAGAGCGACCTTACAAATGTAATAGCTGTGGTAAAGGATTTACTCAAAAGCAGAACTTGAAGGTACACGAACGTGTTCACACTGGAGAAAAGCCTTATATTTGTAACAGTTGTGGCTTCGGTTTCAAAGATCTAGGTGAGTTACGTTGTAGCATAGTAACATCAAATTCTAACTGATTATTGTAATTAGTTGTTCAATTTACACTAGCTGATAACAACATACTTTGTCCTGAATCCTGTGAACCTTGGGAAGGTATCTTTACCAGTAAATGCTGTACGAGTTTTAAATTTTCACTTATCCCAGAGCTATACTAACGATGTAGCACAAACTGAAGTAGCTACAGTAACGATGTAGCACAAAGTAAAGTTGACTCTCATTAAATGATCCCCCCCCCAGGTAACTTGCGGAGACATCAGTACATCCACACAGGAGAGAAGCCTCACGGTTGTGATGTTTGTGGTAAACGCTTCACATGGGTGGAGAGTTTGCGCAGACACAAGCGTACCCATCTCAAACAACGCCCATATCAGTGTAAAGTGTGCAAGAGAGAGTTTGTTCATCATGGTCATCTTAGGATTCACGAGCTTGTTCATAAGGTTAGAATCGGGCTGTATATTGTGTATAACATTAGTTTTAACAGTAGCTTAGGACGGCGAGGTACTTTCAGTCAAGGGGAATCCTCTTCAGACTTCCCGTGTTCTGTTCCATTTTAACTAAATTGCTCGCATCTTTCTTCGCTTGACGCTTAAACTATATAATCTCCAGCAAGACGAAAAGCCGTTCCAATGCAACATCTGCGGGAAGTCCTTCACAATGCTCTCCTCTCTTTCAATACACGAGCACATCATTTGGATAGGAAACCCTATCCGTGTGACATGTGCCAGCGTACCTTCATGACAGCTAGTGCGCTTACTACTCATAAACAGAGTCATGTTCAACGGATGGCTAATGCTTATAGACAGGTACTTTCTTAATTAACTATGTATTTCTTGCGGACTTTTTTTTTGTTTTGAAGTGCTTTGTTTTGTATCTGAATTCAGTTCTTGAATCATATCAAGAATCTAACCGGTTCCCATCCCTTTCAGGCTTACAGAGACCGGTTTAGCTTTTGAAGAAAAGTACGGCTAGGATATGTGTCTTAAATACTATAACTAAATAGTACAAATCAAGGGATCTTAGATAGAATCTTGTGTGTGTTGTGGACGTGGCGCTGCTATGTGATCAAAAAGGAATACTCAAGAATTGTAAGGAGTTGGATTTCTCTTCCCTTCACGTGACTGACCATCGAAGTGACCATTGAAAGATAAGATAAACGCAAATGATTGTTTACAGATAATAAAGTATCAACAATGCTGATGTGCTACAGAATCCAAGGATAAAAAGGAACGAAATACTCCTTACTGATTTGAAATTGATCAATGTCGGGACGCTAGTTAAAATCTAGTTTTAATCTAACTTATTCTATTACTGTAGCTTATTTTATTGTGCCCAGTTTTCTACCCAAGGGCTTCATTCGATAACTTATTAGATAGCTTAAAAAGACTTATGAAACATACATGTACATGCATAAAAAATGCATGTTTTATGCATTGCTCAGTATTTTTAGCTTCAGACGATGAAAAATACTTAAAACTAACTATTAGTAAGACATAATATAAGTAAATTGATAATTTATTATTGATGGGAAAACTTACTTATATGCTGTTTGTGGTGAGCCATCGTTACCAGTTAAGATTTCTCTTCGAGCAGCTGTTTTTTGCTTTACCTCATGAGACTCAGATCGAAGGTGATTTACCCCCACCACCAGCAGCAGCATCAATTATTTACTTTTATTACATTAATAAACTTAACTCTTGACGTGCTGTCAAATCGTTGTGTGCAGTGTAACGTTACTGCGAATTTAACAAGATGATGAAAAGTGAGCGAGAAATTGTAGTAATGTTTCAGAAGGTGCCTTTAAATTTCAAATGTTTTTTCTTCTGGGATGGGTTTATTGATGTTAGTTGTTCATTAAACTGTGTACCTGCTAATCGTATATTGACTTGGTCTGATGTCGAAGTAGGAGATTAAGTTGATGGATTAGACCAGAGTCAGATACCATGCTCAGTCTATCAGAACAGCTGCATGTCGTGGCAAGTATCAAGGAATTGGACTGCATTTCAAATTATCTTGATAAGAGTTGTTATCGAGGTTTTATGGAATTTAATGAATTCGATACTTACATCTTAGTGAGCCAAGTCCGGCACCATAGCGATAACGCAAAGGTAGATTGAAGGAAATAATTTGATAAGATGTGGACAAATGGGTGTTCGTTTACCAACATTTTAAATTTAAAGACACTGCCCTATGATACTTTTGTACAGAAGTTTTGAGTGTAAGTTATTTTTGTAAAGTTTTATCACCGGTATTTTTATCATCGTTTTCATATTATTTGAGTAGGCTATTTTTATCTAATATATTCACATTATTTTTTGGGATATAGGTAAGTTATTGAACTATTTTACTCGATATGATAAATAATTTATTACTTCGAAAAATGTAACGGTAAAAGATACGCATGATTAAAACAGTCTTATTACATTGCTATGATTCATTACAGGATAATGCTTTAAAGTATATTTGCGCACACTGCATAATATATTCAAGCGTTTTTAACACGCACTTCTGACGAGGCTTCAAAAATCCCTCTGTGTAAAAAGAACTTTCCAGTCCGTTTTAATTGAATCCAGCACACAAGACAAATTCTATACCGTTATGTTTTGCTCGTTTTCCTTTGATTTCTGACGTTCAATTCTTTAACCCCCTGGATAAGGTATTCTATATGGATATTATATTATTATATTAATTAACATACATTACTGCATGATATGTGGAGAGGTAGTATATTATATTTTGTACCAATTAGTGGGCAATTAACATTAATCTATGTATTTTAAACCGTGATAGGTTTTGGGATATATCAACATGTTGTTGAACCAGTTTATTTTTTAGTTCCATCTTTTAGCCTTGACCCTTTTAGTTGACCTTTAAGATATGATAATCCTGGTGACCACTGACCTTCTTTATGGATTTTAAAAAGCTGAAGTTGCTTTGGAATACTCATTTGACGTCAAAAGCAAATTTAAAATATGACAATTCTTCCCTATCTTGAGTTCGAAATTTGTACAATTACAAATCAAAAATCAAGACAGTGGAGACATATTCAATACATATTTTCTTCAAAATCCTACTGAAAAACATGAGAATGATCGTTTTTGAGGATCGAAAATAATTAATTTATTGGCCAAGATAATATGATCTATAACGATAATATCCCGTATATTTATAGAACAGTGTTTTGTATCTGGGTAAATTATAATAATACTGAGAGGGATCTTTATAGGTTGCATGTTTATTGTTGAAGTTATTAAGTTATTCTTTTAGATATTATTATATATTTTACCATATTGTTATGTCACAAGATAATTTATACAGTTTTCAGTGCATTACTTGACGGTATCATTTGTGAAGTTCGGTATATTTTATCTCTTTTTCATCCCTGAATCATTATGTGGTCACGCCTGATAAAACGTCAAGTAATGTAATCTTATCTTGATTGAAAAACGCATTGGAAAGGACATCAGACGAACTCGAAAACCTCGAAACCGATTTTAAGTTTAATTATTTTGTTTCTCTAAGTTCCAATATTTATTAAATCCTAGCCCGAAACCTCCACTAATATTTGTTCATGCATGAACTTCATTAATCTGTGTCTGGTGTCCTTTTCATGCCATACTCGGTTACGTCAAATAATTTATTACATACTTTAACCTGAAGAAAATAAGAAGTTAGACAAAATAAGTTATTGATTTTTACATAGAAATCTTGTTTGATTCATTGACTTCCAGGCAAACTGTTACTTGACATATTTTTAGAGCCAGTGCACTGTGCAGTGTACATTGTAGTGTACATTGCAGTGTACATTGTGCAGTGTACATTGCATCTGAATGACCTGGCAAAAACTCAATTGGTTTCTGGTATTCTGATTTCTGTCCACTTAAGTTTTAATTTGACAGTTTATTAATGAACAACCTTGTAAAGGCACAGCAATGGGTTCTCTGAAAAGGTTCATGATTAAGAAGAAGCTGGCTAAGGCCCAGAAGCAGAACCGACCTATCCCTCAGTGGATTCGTCTGAGAACTGATAACAAAATCAGGTTTGTTAAAATGCTGATCAATTTAGATCGCTTGATTCTGATATTCTGTTGTTTTCTAAATTTCCGTTTTCCCTGATTTTTGGGACTTTTCTACCACTACTTTCGAAACCTTTTAAAAATAACATAAACCTTCCGCTCAGATACAACGCCAAGAGGCGTCACTGGAGGAGAACAAAGCTCGGTTTGTAAATACCTCACCCCTCCCGACAGCGAGACAAGGAATCCTGTTCGATCAGATGGTTGTTTTGTTTTTTTAAAGAATACTGTCACGTGAACAATCACGTGACAACTCAACCCGGACTCTCATGTGATCAAACTGAATTCTGTTTTAATTATATTCGTTCGAGACGTTAGTGTTTCATTGTCTCCTTCTTCGTCTTGCGAGTTAGAAATATTTCACTCTGGTCCTTAAAAATTCTTATCTACATTGATTGCTCTGCTCTGTGAGCTCAATCATTATGTTAACTTATAATTATTATTGGACTCATAAGTTGAACCCTCTAATCAATTATCTAATTAATTAATTAACTAATTATCTAGTAATATGAGAGTAGTAGTATACGGAGGTAAAGGTGCCCTGGGCAGCACGCTAGTGAACCACTTCAAGACTAAGAGCTGGTGGGTGTGCAGTATTGATCTGAGTGAGAATCCTGAGGCTGATGTTAATGTTGTGGTCAAGGGAGCCAATCTTCAGGAGCAGGCTGCTAATGTAAGTGCAAACTTGTTAACTTACTTTATTTAGTTATTTAATACTCATTTATCATCATTTGGTGATATGCTGTTCTTTGAACAGGCTCAATATTTGTTACCTTTAGACTCTGAGTTAATACTAATGCTGCCAGAAAACGCAAGTATTAATTTTATATTGACATACTGTTTTCGCCAAAAACACACTCAACTTTCGTGTCTTGACGGAACTAGAGCTAACCATCTTAACAATCTTATTATCTAACCATTAACCCCAGGTTAACAGTGAGATAGAAAAGAGTGGAATAGGAGCGGAGAAGTTCGACGCTATATTCTGTGTAGCTGGTGGCTGGGCTGGGGGGGATGCTGCCAACAAGGACTTTGTCAAGAACACAGATCTTATGATGAAGCAGAGGTATGTTCAAATGTTGGTTTATAAAAAGCAAATACTGCCAACATTTCAAAGCTGTTCGTTTCCTCAAGCAAATAAATGGTTATCACATAACAAACCATGTTTTGTATCGTACTTATAATCTCCTAATTATTTACTAATTGTACTAATTTTACTAATTACCAGTATCTGGACGAGTGTGATCAGTGCTAATGTTGCAGCTCATCATCTGAAGGAAGGAGGTGTACTTACCCTCGCTGGAGCTGAACCATGTTTAGAGGTACTTGTTATATTGCGTTATTACCTTGACATAACGCTGTGTGTTTAACGACTCTAGAACAAGAAGTGATCTCGTTAGAGAGTTGCAACATTACATTCTCAATGTGACACCCCCTCCCTACTAAAATCAACAGTTTCGCACTCAAATCTTTTCTATAACTTTAGATTTGTTTGGAGAGGCGAATCATACAAAGTTTAGGCTCTTGAAATCTTCGATATAAAAATCATCTTGAGATAACCTCCTGAATAGAATAAATAAAATAAATAAATGAATAAAATAAAAATAAAATAATAAAATAAATAAATGATCCTTTACACCGTATCCTCCCAGGGCACCAGCTTCATGATAGGATACGGACTATCCAAAGCTGCCGTCCACCAGCTGACAGCCTCTCTGGCTCAGAGTGGAGGTGGTCTACCTACTGGAGCTGTTGTTCAGTGTATACTTCCTAAAACCCTGGATACTCCCATGAACCGCAAGTTCATGGCTAATGCTGGTGAGAACCCTTATCTCTGTGACTAAGGAATTTTAAAGATTATTTGATGAAAGAGGGGATTATCTACGTCATGTTAAATATCATGCAAGATAGTGTAATACACATGTATTGATTTAGTAAGTTGATAAGTGATTTAGTTAATAATAATCTTACTCGCCAGATTTCACCACGTGGACGCCGATGTCGTACATAACTGAAATGTTCACCAAATGGGCCGAGGATCCTTCATCAAGACATCCGAACGGAGCTTTAGTTAAAATCCTCACTATCGACAGTATTACGACAGAAACCGTCGTTTAGAAAGTTTATCCAGATTAGATTGTATCTTGTCAGATATTAGTTAAACTCAATGACTTGAAATACTGAATGTAGCTTTGTAGTTATTAGTATCTTGAACAATATGGGTTTTTAGGACCTTCATGCGTTTATAATGTCCAAAATATTAACTTGTGAATCAACAAACACATCTCAAAAACGTGATTACTGATCATTTTCTCATTTAAATTAATGAATTCATTGCTTTATATTATTATTTGATGTGTATATATCGTGTTTAAGGTTAAATTGTATTAAGTTTCTATCCTGCCCGATTTGGGTTTAAATTGGGCCATTCCACTAGTATTTTTCATACACCTAAAACACTTTTGGAATGCTTGGAATGCTACCCATTCAGATCTTTTGAGGAGAAGATAATGTTTTAGTTGCAATTTATTTTATAAGTTTTTTTCCTAATTTATATCGTGCATTTTGTGCTTTAAATGATATTTTTACTTATTGTATTATACAATTTACACTGCCTGCTATTGCAAGACTAAAATTGTGTCAGTTTCTTTCTACACCAGAATATTTGTTCGACATCAAACTCATTGACTAGATTTATAGATATTTTTGAAGAATCGATATATCCAAAAGTTTGATTTACCTTTCGGCTTTATGTTAGTTTTCTATAATTTATGTCTGAACTATTGTAGCAAGGCGTGATGCAGCCTACCAAGCTCTTCTCAAAGGGAGTCGTTACCGGATACAGGAGGGGACAGAGAAACCAAGACCCTTCAATCTCTCTCGTTAAAATCGAAGGTTAGATCATCTTAACAAACCCAGGAGATAATTCAGACTCTGAATTAAATATTCTGTAACATGATATTTGTAGTACGACTACACTGGGTGTAAGCTTAGAGCACTACCGTATATCATAATTCATATATATTTAACGCGTGTAACATTTTTTGGCGGGAAACATAAATCCCATTTATTTCAGGTGTAAGCTCTAAAGCTGAGACCGAATTTTATCATGGCAAGCGAGTAGCATACATCTACAGAGCTCAGAAGACGAGGAAAAATAAGATCACCAAGAGGGAAACCAAACTGAGGGTAATCTGGGGAAAGGTGAGACGGGCTCATGGTTCCAGCGGCCTCGTCAGAGCTTCATTCAGAACGAACTTGCCACCCAAAGCCATCGGCGCCACAGTTCGAGTTATGTTGTACCCATCAAGAGTTTAATTTAAATATTATTTTTTAGCCTTACCCCAAAAGTTCGAGTTTTCTTTGTTTCATATGAGTGAGTAAGTACACGGTGAGGCGACTCGCTTTCAACACGTGTTCGCTGCAAGTAACGTTGGTGTAGCGCGCACGCGGACCTCTGATTATTATGTCGAGTTTAGTCACTTATCATTGATAAGGAGAAATTTTGCGGCGCGCACGTACTCAACGTCTCACGTACTTTTCCAGGCCAGGCCGTTTCCATGCGGTTTCCTACCTCATTTCGAATGACTAGTCTATATAGACCACCGTGAAACTGAAAACAGGGCAACACTGATATCATACACTAGATACTACCCAATTACAAGTATGAGGACATTGCACTGGTTATGATCATACTGATGTCACCAGTCCTCGTGGTTCTTAGAACCCGGATGCGTGCACATTGCCGAATAATCACTTGTCAGAAATTAGGACGAAAATACGAAACTGGCAATCTGGGTCATTTTGAATCTCAATTATCCATCTTGCATCTATGATCTCAGTTTATCCTACCTACTGATGTAACTAAAGGGATTGTTCAAAAATGTCAACTGTGATGAATGTTGTAGTCAAGGATTCTGTCATCCTAGATGTGAGATAATCGCAAGTTAATTCGGGTAATTTAGTGAACAACCAGATTGTTTATAGTGATCGAAGACGGAGCTAACCAAGAGTATCTCTTTAGATCTTTTAATCGCTACATAACGATTCACAAAGGATCAACCGATGATATAACTGATCACTTTCGTGCGAAAGATCACCTCACATCAGCAGAAATGAGTACTGGTCACTATTCTTATCAAACAGGAATATACCTAGAATGCACAATTTTAATAAAGTAAGTCTACAAGTTTGGACAATAGTTTTTGACTAGTGTCTCAACATCCGGGTTGCAGGCTGGTTTGATAATGTTGATTACTGATTACAGCAGCTGTTGTTGACTTTGGCAATGAAAATATTGGCTTACCTGACAGAATAGGCGGAAGCCATAATCCAACCATCCCTCTAACTACCCTAAAAGAACCAGTAACTGTCACTTAACTGTCACCAAGATGTAGTTAGGTTTAGAAACTAAACATTTTACCACTGTACTCTTCTTTTCAAGATCACCCAGCGCTAAAGATCTCATTATTTTACACCACCACCATGCATTTAACATTTAATCCGTAACTCTGTATTTGACGATGACTGGGTTGGGCATTTCGACATTTTCCTCGACACATGTGATGTGTACAGCTGGAATGTGTTGACATGCGGATTTTACGATCTGTCGAGTTCATTCAACGGTGCGACGTACCAAAGTTATGTCATGGCTGGAAAGACACAACTAAATGTGATCAGAGTTAATGACTTATGAGCCCAACTGATACAAGAACGCCCAAAATTTCTCATACAGTTATTAATGATGGTAGTTGAAGTTCTCAAGAGAAGGGTTCCATATAATTCTGATTGTGCGTGATCGCAGGCTCGCGGAGTAAGCGAAATGGATGGATTGAGCCGCGCGCACGTGATATTCAATGAAGACTGAGATTTTTACCACAAGATTGTAGCCGCGGCCTCCGTTATCAGTAAATATTTCTCGTATATTGCCAAATAAACCGCTCTCTGAATTGCTTTTTCAACTTTAAAGCGTCCACTTACTGACACATTCACTAAAATTTCCAAGACAGCAGGAACACAATATAAGGAATAATCTGTGTCATTGAGAGGAAATAACTGTGGATGTCACTGCGAATACAAGAAAATGTGCGCGAGATATTTCAAAACTCAATGTTGTGCGGACTAGTATTCGTATGTCTCTGATCCAGTGGTCGACCGGGGGCAGGATTCTGACCGGGGCCGGGTTACCTGGGGACCCCAGGCTATTATGTTCATAAATAAAGATTCGGCGGAATGACAGGCTGAGCGCCGCCCAGTAAGGGCCGGGGAGCCCCAATATAGCCGGGGCCGGGGCTGACCACTGACAATTGGCCGGGGCCGGGAAATCTTCCATTTTGCCGGGGCCGGGGGTAGTTTACCAAACTGAAGTTAGAAATTGAAACATGAATTTGATAATAATTTAGGCTGGTGTGATGCAATCGGGAAGGATTAAACTCAAGGTGCGGCTTATCATCACCGTCTTCGTGCTGTGAACCAACTAAGGATAATCCTCATTATCCTGAGATCCATACTTAATTTCTAATCCTCAACTCGGAACTGAGGATAACCCTCAGCTGCTACTTTATCTGGACCTCGGGATTTAAAAGTAATCCCACATCCAAATATGGCTCGGTTCACAAAAATTTACCATAAATGTTAGGCTCTGTAGTTTACGTTGAGCCGTAGTTTTAGCTGCAGTGCAGTATTTTTACTTTCTAGTTTCTACGTATGTTGTATCGCAAACTTCTCGGAGACGATTAATTGCAAAGTCTGATCATACTGAGGAAGAACCACGGTTTTTATGTTACTAGCCGTAGTCTAATTTAAGCCGTTTGTTGTATTTTCTATATTTAAACGTACTCAACGTAGACAATAAATGTTTCAACTTTGAAATCTCATAATTACCATTAAATTGTGTTTGATTTCTTTCAAAAATGTGCCAAAATCATTCATGAAATCTCCGGCTGTGCCCCTGGCAAATGCATGGTTTTTGGCCGGGGCCGGGGTTTACCCCCGGCGATTTGCCAAATTTTGGCCGGGGCCGGGAAGGGCCGGGGGTTGTGATTTTGGCCGGGGCCCCGGTCGACCACTGCTCTGATCCCTCGGCCGCATGATCCTCATGATCATATAACTAATTACCTTCAGACGTTCTAAGAAGAAAAATGTCGGACCAATTTTCAGTAGATCGAAATTCAGTGGCTTTAAGTGTAGCAATCTGTCGCCTCTACAACAATTTTATGGCGCCATCCCTGACAGCCTCTCGTCATCTGTTTTTTAATGCGTCAACCGAACTTCGAGGAGGGTAGACTTATGTAGACTTATATTGCCGCAGAATCGGAGTATTTTCGTAAGAAGGGCATAATCCCGCGAACCTTCATAAATCACGCAGTTAAGGCGTGTTTTAGATAACGTCCATTTATCATAACAGCTGATGTTTATAGAAATGATCATGAAGATTAACAAACAGTACTGTTTTCAAATTTTGACCAATCGGTCTCTACCGACCAGCAACATCAAGGTACCATCGCAGGGACCAGGGTATGTTCGGGGAATGTTTGTATCTACAAACCGATTGGTTGGCAGGACCCCACTCTTCTCAGACGCAAGAAACTGTCACGAATATCCAGGAATCATGATTTGAAAACTTCATGCCATTATTAAGCTTTTTAGTTTCAGCTTTGTCAGTCTCACAAGCATTCGGTTAATTTAGTGAGCAGATGAACAACGAAAACATACGTTTTGTTACTAAAGTAGTCTTCAGAAAATGATAATTAATTCAAGCACCCTAAATCGATAAAAACGTTAAGTCAAAAACAACGGTTTATCACCATTTTTCTAGAACATCATGATTTATTTAACCTTTTAAGAGCGAACCATGCTTTTTATATCGAGCTCACGGTCTAATTCGCTTGGTTACTTCTAAAAAGGACAATAGTAAGACTTTACAAAGTAACCATGACGATATAATCTTAAATCTATACATCTTTCTGTCGTTTTGAATCCTATAAATCATTTTGAAATCTTGATAAAGATAATATTATGATGATTCGATAAAAATCACCTTTTGAAAGTGAACCAAATTACTAAAAATGTAACGAATCTATAATCTAAAAATAATATCTCTCCTTTAATGTGTGATTAATTAACGGCAGGATTCTATTTTATCTTCATTTAATTCCAAGAAATTAAACTCATTTATCAAGATTCAGCCCTCACAATCAACCAAATTTTGACCAGAAGAAAGAATGTTCGAGGCACATAATTATTAACTTTAGAGAGCTTCACCCAATATACAGTTATGCAAATGACGTCACACCACGTGGTGTGACGTCATGTCACGTGACCACATAATTATTTACTTTAGAGAGCTTCACCCAATATACAGTTTTGCACATTACAGGAAGAAAAACGTACATTTTACATTCTAATTATAAATTATTCTATAAATATACTAAGTTTCTAACTTCTCATAAGCTGGTCGGACGTCGGCATGTGGTTTCTATCAAGGTATACCGATTTTCTCAATTATTCCGTTTTCATATCTAACAACTCAGATTTCATCGCCATTTCATATACTCCGCAATCTATAATTGACCGACTGGAATTTTCCAGGCTTTCTCATATTATAATCACTGTCTCTAAAAATAATTGAGTCTGATTCCCGCAGCTTCCACAACATAGCTAGCCTTCTAAACTCGAACTCGAGCTCCTGTGACTGTCGAAGCAAAACGCGTGGTTAAAAGAATTGTGTGCGCGACCGGTGCAGGGTCGACAGTCCGTGCCCTAAAAGTTGAAGCCAGATAAATCTATCCTGATCTCTCTCAACTTGTCGTCCATGATTTCGGCCGTTTTGCAGATTGGACACACGCCCGTCTCCATAAGTTTACAGCCGCACGCTGTGTGTAGCTTGTGTCCACATAGTAGTTGTAGTGCCTGCAGTAATAGGGTTATTTAAGCGGTTATGTCAGTGGTTATGCAAGAAATATAACAATAGCTACATGCTACAGTTTGGTTTTTTTAATTGCTTACGTAATAATGGTGGGTTTCACGCGACAAGATTAAGTCACAATATTATTATTGAGTTTACGTAATACTGTAACTAACAGTGGAGTATTTGAAGAAGTTAAACTTAGTATCAATACACGTTTATATAACACGTACAAGCTTATTGGTAGCTCGCAGTATGGTAAAGTTCACACGGTTATGCTACTTAACTTTATAATGTGACAGCTAACAATGCAGTAGTGTTCCTTCGTACTATAATCAACGTTACAGGGAAAATACAAATATTTCGCCAGTTTCATTCCTTGAAAATCAAAATGTACCGGAAGGATATCCTAACGAATTTTACACCGTCATTATATATTATGTCAGAATAATATAGTTTTGCAAAATATAATATAATGATAAGTTTTTAATTTATAATGATAATATTATAGACTTGATAACTTCAAGTCGTACAACCTCTACCCCAGTACTGATAACGTACTAACGTACTATTATGGCGCGTGCAGTATAACAACACCTGTCATTAACACATAGCAACCACGTGACAACCACGTGACAACCACGTGACAACCACGTGACACCTCCACGTGGTGTGTAGAGTTCTAGAGTATCTGCCAATTTACACCTTCGATCACAGCTCGGTTCCTATATTACGATGCATACCATTGTGGTTTGTTACAAGCATGCGTACAGGGTGTGGCGTGGTGATACATTGTTAAATATCATGAATGTTGGTAATGCTATGTACAATGTACACATTATTATCACACAATTACGTAATTATACATAATTTATGTGTAAAACTGCGGCTTATGCCGTGCGAATTAGGGTGTCGTCAGTATCTGCAGTGTACTAACAAATGTCAAATTGTTGTGGTTTGTGGGGTGCGTCATTAAGTGAACACGTTGTTACAGGGCGTGAAATATCGTCTATGGTACAGTAAACAGATGTTGCTCAACACACTGAAGTAATACTATTAATATAAACGTCCATTTCTCCAAAATTGTAAATTCAGGGCGGGCCTGAATTAAACTTGATGTTTACAGCCAGGTGCAAGGTCCAAGCAGCTCTCTTTTAACTTGTAAAGACAGGTAATACTGGCCCACCCTTCAATAACATAAGGTATGCAGTGAATGCACATATCATGTAGACCCCTTCTGTGTTAAACCCCGCTATCTCTCCAGATATCTCCCCAGATATCTCCCCAGATATCTCCCCAGATATCTCCCCAGATATCTCCCCAGATATCTACAAAAGATATATCTTGACACGGTACCAGTTACACGAGGGTTTAGAAGCCAATATTCTTTCCAAAACAAAGGTACATGGGGCATGTCAGCTACGCATGTAAAACAATGGTGTGTGGCGTGTTGTCATGGAGATGTGAACGTGCTATACACACCGGAAGTATACTGCTCCACCTTTTATTAAACTTAGAGTGAGCTGGAATGTTTCCAGTGTAACAGGTCGCTAACGGGTGATGAATAAAAAATGGGACTACATGTTTTTTAGCCCTCAGATTCCACCTGAACAAAATTTTGATATTTTACCACAACCACCAGTTACTCTGAACGATACTCGAACAGTTTCCACCCCCATTTGATAAAATTGGTTGATCTTTGTCCCCGATAATGGTCTCGAACTAGGGGAGGGGTCCTATAAAAACTTTACAGTAAGGCTCTGTTCACAGAAGTCGCCTCACAGGTAGTTAAAGCTTCCATACCAAAAAATATTTAGCAGAGAGTATGCCGAATGTTATGCTTAAGACGAGGGTTCAACACCCATCAGCGTAGCTAAAACCAGTAAGAAGATATTTGAGCTCAAAACCACCTGAGGGGTAAAATTTTACCGTGTGAAAGATCGAGGCTAGGTCAACTATCGGCTTTAGCATGGTCTATAATGGTACCACGTAAAAATCAAAGTGCTTGAAGCCTTGCCAGGTGTTGTTCCTACAAGAAAATATCCCCAAAGGGTGGAAGGTGGTTCGTTAGGATGGGGCTAGATCGTATTTTTCTGGGAAAACCACATCTTTATTTGCCATAAGGGCCAATTTCGTCCCAAAAGTTATCGACCAAAGTAAATTTTGACAATCTTAACCCATAGAGGACTTCTTTAGAGTCCTGGCAACACATGTACATGCCCGGAATATGGCTTACAAGCATACATGGGCCTTAGGGCACAAAAGAAGAGACTGCGCCAACACGATTTTAGGCCCAACTGTACAGACGGATTTTTGAGCTTGATGAAAGAAGCCCTCCTGAACCAATCAAAATGGGCTCATGGGCGCTTGTCATTGACCATACTGGTTCAAAATTGCCCGTTTTACAACGCTGTTTCATTGGTTTGAACCAAAAATAGTTTTATCGACACTAAAAAGACCCTTGAAAAAAGTCCCATTTTTTAGTCATCACCCGTTATTAAGTATTATGGATCCCACTCTGGTGTTGTAGGCAGGTTCTCTTGCATGTGGTATTACTAAATGAGTTATCGAATTATTTATATTATACATGTAGTATTACGGTACCTAAGTACATCACATTTAGTGCAGAAATAACTTAATTAAGGTTGTCCCAGTCCGTTGTCATTGATTGGCATAGTAAAACCGTGCGGAGATAGTGTGAATACTGAATATATACAAATTGTTTCATCTTTTTACTTTTGACAATTTGAAAGTTTGGAACGAGGCCAAATACCTTTAAATTCGAACCCTAACCTAAAAGTATTAAAAAATTGACAGCATGTCAAGACATCCGTGATTAGTGATTTCCTTATTATATACGCCAATAAGGCAATAAATGACAAATTCTAAACTAAAATTATAGAACAAACTCCTATATATTCGATCAGTAATAAAAAAAAAGTTCAAAAAATCACAGAAAATTCCAGGGATATAAAACTGACCTCTTCGTCTTTCTGCCAGGGTTTCTCACAGGCACACTTCGTGTGTAACTCGTGTCCTTGCAGCTTCACCACTGAAAAATAACTCTTTTAAATATTGGCAGATAATAATGTTGTTATAAGCTTAATTTTTCTTCTGTGGTCACTGAAAATGACCGTTTTTATATCGTTCAGTTCCTCCTGTCTCATTTAGGGGCCAATTTAGAGTGATGAAACTATAGTGTACTCTAAAGGTACTTAAAGGACCTCGTGTCTAGTCATTACAGTTGAAATTGGTGGGTTCAGGTTTTAAAAAGTTTAAAAAATTAAAAAGAGTGAACGTGATTAAAACTATTTAGTTATAACAGTTTTTCTGCGTAAAGCGTTCGAATAATGTTAACCTATCAAATATCTTCAGTATTCGGCAGAAACGATTATCGACTGATTATGTAATATCTAAACATAGTTTTAACTTTTTGACACGGTTACAAATAGTTGGAAATATTACAGCAGTGAACATAACGATATTTCTGCCAAAAGATTTTAGAGATTAAACAATTACAATTTGTTAAACCGTGTGACATTAATCAAATCTCTAATTTCAATAATAATTGTGATTTGTTCATTGAGTTGAATCAATTATTGAGCGAAGGCTTGGGAAATACCAGCTAAGACATTACATCCCAAATGTATTAATGTCAAATCTCGTAGATTGTAACTTCCAATTAAAAAGCTTCAAGTTTTATGTACTAATAATATCAAATTAATACACAGGAGAGTTTCCCCAGATTTCATGAAAAATCGTGTGATCTATTTATGAAGAGTTTTAATAAAACTTATATCGTGGGAATTTTCTTGTCTAAATTTGTATTTGTTTACAAAACAAATCTGTAACTCTGTAAATTGACTGATTTAAGTGAAAATAGCCGGACAAGGCGTTTAACAAGAGGAATTTCATGTTTACAATGACATATTTGTACGTGCAAAATTCATACCATCCCCAAAAATAAAAACAACCGCATGTAATTTTTTCAATCGCACAGCAAATGATGTTATAGTTAGAGAAAAATTCTGCATTTATTTTGGCAGGAGACTACAGTGGTGGTTGAATGGTGACTCTCCATTTCAAGGATTAGGAAACTGAAGATGTATGTGCCCTGATCGCTTTCCTTATTAACAATGTAATGTAGGATGCAAAGGAAGCTAGGTATGAATGTAAAGGATCATACGTCCGTAAGGTCATGAATAACGTTAATATAACTAGACTCTATACCTCTACATAGTCTATATAATCTATAATATATTATAACTAGAGTACACTGTCATTATCTACTTGAAATATATTATATAATATTATATATAATTCGATTTCTTGAGAGTGATGAGAGGTGGTGTGAGGAAAAACCAATCACGGGGTTTGGAGGTTAATTAATTAACTAATAATGTAATATGCTTAATCAAATAATTAATTATTTCTACTATTTCAAAATAATTAATTAATTAACACAAAAACTGACCTGGTAATCTATTAAGTTCGATGTATGAGAGAGGCTGAGGCTGGGGCACGTAGTCTCTCCGATCAGGAGGCGGCGTGAGGGACCGGGGCCGGTAGTTCATTGGAGAGGTGTCCGGACTGGCTTCTCCTATCTGGTACTCGTTGTAGGATTGGTCTGAGTACTCAGAGGACCCCCGCTGAAATAATTAGGTAATTAATTAATTGGGTAATTAATGATATACGTAATGAAGTAAGATGGTTGTTGATATGTATCACTCTACCAATACGAGGAGTTTACAACATGTCGCTAATTAAAAGTCGCACTTGTTTCATGACTATATTAGGTATGTTATAGATATTAATTAGGGATCAAACATTGAAAACATCATCGATTGTAGTCATTATGCTTGGGCGTAATTTTATCGTAAACAGATTCAATACTATACTCTTTGAAGTTTGATCAGTAATACAGTAACCAAGATCATTCTGGTACAGTATCATTAATTAAATACACTCTGTACGATGCGAGATATTTAAATTAAAAACAACAACAATTGTACAAAAAACACCACATTATATTCACACTACACGACCAGTGACCACACGTGTCCAACAAAACTCGCATTTTGGTGAGGTCCAACAAACACATGTCAAAAACACTGACACTAAATATTTCTAATATTTCTCATATATCTACCACATTTGTATCTAATTCCGGGCATTTGTAAGTTTGTTAGAGATGTAACACTGTAGAGTAAGACCTTGACATCTGACGCTTTGTGAGGCTTGATTAGCTAATTTTCTTCCTGACACATGTCAACAACAACACGTCTGTTTCTGTGTCTCTACTGAGAATCTAGACATTTATCCCGAACATTCCACAACCTTGTCACGATTCTTCAAAAATTACGTAATACGTATTTCAAGGATCTTAGTCAGAGATTTCCATTGTACATATCATAGCAGACTTATACTTTATACATTATACAATACAATGTATATAAACTATGTATAGGAGACGTCATGTTATATCACATAGGAACCGCCCACTTCAACTCATGTGAAGATACACATTACACAAATATAAACTTCAACAATTATCAATAATATTTGATTTTCGTGTCCTAGGCAGTTAGCCAGCACGTGGCTCTATCATAATATAAAATTGTCTAGAGAATACCAACAATCTACATTTAATTTGTGTTTCTCTAGAAATGTTGGCATCGCTAACACATGGAAATAAGCTTATAGTGTGAACATGCGTGTTATGTGTGGGCACAAACACCTCGATATACACTTACAGTTACAACACTGATACATGGCATAATAAACATGTGATAACAAACACTGTGTTCATTTCCTGTTAAATGGAGGGAATCTTCTATAAGGCTGAGGAAATATGTTTGAAATTTAGCGAACATTCTCTAGTCAAGAAAACGTTCACGATCCAATTTTAAAATTTAAAATGTCCTGCATGTGCTGTGAGATATTTTTGCAATGACACTTAAAATAATTTTCGCGCTAAAACGGCATTGATACGATATAGAAAAATTCCAAGAATACACCTGGCATTAATTTTTATTTAATCCGATTAAGCGGTGATGATAAATAATAGATCTCGTGGCACGCCCTTAAGGAAAGCAAACAATTGGTGAATGAGGACAGAACATCAGTTTTGTAATCCGATTAAAAAGTATATTGAAAAGAATGCATTTCATGGGAAATCCAACTTCGAACCATTGTAGAACAATCAAGCAAGGAAAATGAACTTACAAACAAAGTCTTGGAATGAAACAAAACATTACAATTGGTGGGCATACCTTGAGAACAGAGATATCGCTGCTGTCGAATTGAAGATTTTTAAATATCATGCCAGGCTTTGGAAGCACCTTCTTTCTTTTGGAGCACATAATTGTGACCATATACCCCTTATTTTCCTCAGTTTCAAGTTGTCTTCTTATAGTGAAGTATTTCACAAGGTATTTGTCTCTGTTTAACAGAATCTCCAAATGAATCCCTCAGTCTTTCAAATGAACAATCCACACGAGGCAACAATGTATGTAAACGAGTATGCAAACCACAAAAACCAATAAGACGTTAACCGGTGCGGCAGTGCTAATTTATATAATGTATATTGTATCTTTAATAATGAGGATACAGTTACAAATAAAAGGTGTGCAAATTCACAACTGGTCCCAGAAATTATGGCACGGCGGAAATAAAGAAATAAGCCCTTTACAAACTGAAAGTACACTTTGTATTGTTACACCTGCGACTCACTGAGAACGAGCACTACACTGTAACACTGAGTAGCTACCGCATGTACCACAATCTATCTCCTTACAATTACATATAATAATATAAGGAGAATATATCATATGAGGACTTAACAAACAAAAGGTAGAATTACCAGAGCAGGAGTCATGTTCGGAGCTCTGAATGTTTCCTAGCTGTGGTATTCTGAGTTGAGTCTACATGTGGTTATTGTTATGACGGTGGAAGTTGCTTGGTAAGTTATTTTCGTATTAGTAAAGATAATTACCAGCCTGTCATTAACTAACTTATACAGTTTAAAATGTAATGTCCGCATGAAGTAGACATTAAGACATTACATTTAAGTAGATTTAAAGACCAGTTAAGATTAGAACCGGGATGTTGTGGGTCTGTTACTACTAACTACTGTTCAACATAACATTTAACTACCACAGAGCACAACTTATTCGTGTTATATAACTTCCACCTTATGTTTAAACGCCTTTAATAACGTTACTGTCGAATATGCTTAAGGTAAAGTCGTTTTATTACCTTCTACTGAACAGTAGTTCAGGAGATAAATACCTTCAATATCTTAGATCAGTTTTTCAGTGGATTGAATAGTTTTCTAAAGTTGATGCTATTAACATTGTTTCAACTTGTTCTTGACAAAACATATTGTAATATTCCATAATTACTGTAACAAAAGTATTTGTAAAACTAATTGTAATATTTCTAAATGATTCAAAACCAGGGTCGTTTTCCCTGTGTCTGAAAGATCATAATATTTAACTTAATAATAATAAATTGTGTCAGCACCCATCACGAGATATGACAGATTAACGGCAAACCACGTGACATGACATCACCCAACTTCACCTCAATGTTATGATCGCATTAAAACGCGGCCGGGATGCGACTACGGCCGACAGCTGCTTATTACTTGATGGTCACAGAGCAGAGGCTAAGACAATGCTATTAGTTTGATTAGCAATGATGATAATCGTTTGATTGGTATGTGGTTATCTGTGGTGATTGATCATTTGGGTCGGTTAAACCGCAGATGGCAGAAAGAGAACAGCGTTCACATGACAGAGAGGAAAACGCACAGCAAACGAGACATTGAACAGTTTATAAACATATGAAATGTTTACAAACACGAGTAATAATAAATATATTTATAACAAACATGTTTCCAGTTCGCCTAAAACATGGTTAAAAGAAGATCAAGAAGGATCCAAATTTAAAGCGATCTTCAAAAAGAGAGGATTCACCCAGAAAACAAACCATCAAAAAAAGATATATAACATATTTATTCACACGGCAGTTTACACTCAAACATCAGTACAAATTCCACACCATTACCCTCAGATCGTCCGCATATTTCCTCAACTCATGCTTTCTACCGTTACTTCTACCGTGGAAGAAGGTGGAAGTCCGCCGTACCCAGCCACCAAGAAGCATGATCATGGGGCCCGATTCGGCGGATATACACGTCTTGAGGTTGTCTCGTGATCAGTTCTACAATTCTACAGGTCTTGAAACAGTCTCGCGACAACTATTGCATGGAAATGATGAAACGGTTATCTTACGGCTATTTACACGCATTACTAACATTTAAGTTAATAAAACGGTTATTTTACGGCTATTTACACGCATTACTAACATTTAAGTTAATAAAACGGTTATCTTACGGCTATTTACACGCATTACTAACATTATAAGTTAATAAAACGGTTATCTTACGGCTATTTACACGCATTACTAACATTATAAGTTAATAAAACGGTTATCTTACGGCTATTTACACGCATTACTAACATTTAAGTTAATAAAACGGTTATTTTACGGCTATTTACACGCATTACTAACATTTAAGTTAATAAAACGGTTATTTTACGGCTATTTACACGCATTACTAACATTTAAGTTAATAAAACGGTTATCTTACGGCTATTTACACGCATTACTAACATTTAAGTTAATAAAACGGTTATCTTACGGCTATTTACACGCATTACTAACATTTAAGTTAATAAAACGGTTATCTTACGGCTATTTACACGCATTACTAACATTTAAGTTAATAAAACGGTTATCTTACGGCTATTTACACGCATTACTAACATTTAAGTTAATAAAACGGTTATTTTACGGCTCTATTACTCTTATGTTGCTGCGAAACTGGAGCCTTATATACTCACAATATAGGACAAAGCTAGACTGTTTAGCCACTAGAGATACATAGTGTACCAGCTTCGACCACTTCAAGATAAAAATAGGAAATTCGACAAAATACCGCTCAACACCAGACAATAACTGAATAACTCGGTATATAATTTTTAACATACCAGTGCAATTTTACTTACATACTTGAACAGTGTTATATATTTTATCACATTGTTGGGCATCAGATTCAGGCTTATATCACCCATTATTTTTCAATACCACAGAACTAAAAACAATGCAATACAGGTAAAATTAAAAGCTTAATTTTTCACATATTATAGGCTGTAGCAACACATGCCAGTTGTGAGGCGAAACAATGGCGCTAAATGCGAGTTTCAAGCAGGAATGAAGTGTAGTGTTAATGTCCCGATAACATCCTGACAAGATGTACCGCTGCAAAGTCTAGCATCGTGCAAGCATGGTGCACGTGCAAGTATGATGCACGTGCGACTCATGGCTACATTGTGCTGATCATTAGTCATTACGTTCCCTGGGAAAGAGATAGAACGGCTGATACTGTGCTGGTCCTGCATCCAGACAATGGATTAAAGTTGAGAACTGAGTTTTAACTATTCCCCTAATCAGTACACAATAAAGTAGTGTGTAAGTTATCTTCTACCAGAACCTGAATACTAGATAACATCTACCTTGTAAGAATGTCATATCTTCTCCATTCTTACTTTTGTCAATTATATAATATGAAAACATGAACCCT